CCTGCCGGAGCTGGCAGGGAGGGAGCAGGAGCACTGTCTCCCCTCACCTCCACAGGGTAGTTGCCTGGGGAGACTTTCTCACCATCCCCTTATCCCTCCCACAGACAAAGCGACAAACCCTCTGAACAAGGACCTGGACTGGGATGGTATCAATGCTTTCTGTGAGCAGCTCAATAAGGAGCTAGAGGGGTAAGTGCTTCTCCCTTTCCCTGGGCTGCTCTGGGTCACAGGCCTGGGTTATGATTGTCCACCTAGTAAGATTCAGTGGGGTTGTCCTGAGAGCTGAATAGGCACAAAGCTCCTCAAAGTGGGGGTGGGTGGAGGGTCCTGGTCCCCTAGCAGAAGGTTCCCACACAGTTTTAGTGCCGTATCAGTGCCTTAAACTTGCAACATGCACTTCAACTCTGGATTCCCAGATAGAAATGCAGGTACCACACAGGTACTTTTCATCAATAACTGGCTAGCTTTTTTAAAAATCTTTCCAGACCTCCGCTTGCTACCCGACTTCTTGCCCACAAGATCCAGTCTCCGCAGGAATGGGAAGCTATCCAGGCCCTCACGGTAAGGGCATCTGCAGGCTGGTAGAACTAGATGGAGGGCCAGGGCATGGGGTTGCTCCAGTTTGACTGGAGGAGCATGGGAAGCTTTGAACTCCCTCTGAGAAAGCCCTGGAGCTCCTGGGCCCCTGGGTGTGGAGGAGCTGAAGGTGGTTCCACAAGAGAGGAGGAGTGACTGGTAGCAAAGGTCTTGTTCCTAGAAAGGGTCATAGCTGGTTGAAGTTGATAGGATGCTTTTTATTCCCTTAATCACATTGTAGATCCACTCCAGATTGTGAGCTCTCTTAAGGGTATCCCTTTCCATGGGTTGTTGAGCCATCTCTGCAAAGACTGATTCTGAAGAGGAAAATCTTCCTGCTTCCCTTTGGGATGGTGATTGGCCACCTGGGAGGGAAAGGCAGTGTCCCTCCATGCTTCTGTAAGGATAGCCACAGGCTCCCTGCCTGACGAGGGGGGAGAAAGAGGAAGCTACTCCCTCCTGAGCCTGCTGCTAACCCTGTGCTGGGTCTCACCTGGCCCCTCTCCCCAGGTGCTGGAGTCCTGCATGAAGAGCTGCGGCAAACGCTTCCACGACGAGGTGGGCAAGTTCCGCTTCCTCAATGAGCTCATCAAAGTGGTGTCACCCAAGGTGAGTCTCGGGGCATTGTGTTGGAGGGGACCGAAGCCTGGTGGCAGGAGAGGTTTGGGAAGAAGTAGTGGCTGAGCAGAAAGGTCAAACACCCACTGGGATGTGGGGGAAACAGGACAGTGCTAGTAGGAGATTTAGTCGTTGTTGCCTCGTGAGTTTTCCAGTGGGAAGGTGAGCTTTCACTCCTCTGCTCCCAGCTGATTCTTGATGCAGAAAGCTAAGGACTGGCTAGACATGATGCAACCAGCGCTCGTGAGACTACTGAGCTCATCTGCGTGCCTGGAATTAGCTTCTCTGCGTCTCTGTTGGGCCCTGTCTGCACTGTATGTGCTCAGGAACCTCCCTCAGCTTTGACATCGTGACCATGTCTCTCTGGGGTGTCCCAACCTGGTTGAGACACTCTCAGAGGGCAAGCCCAGGCCTGGTCAGTGGTGCTCTGGTGAGTCCATCTGAAGCACCAAGTCATTACGTGCTCCTCTGCTGATGCTGCTGTTCCTGCAGCAGAACAAGCTGTGTGTGCACACCTAATCAGTAAAGGCAGTTAACACCAGCAAAAATGGAGTTAAGGGAACATGAACTAAATATGACTAAGGAAAACCTTTGCTTGCCAGTCACAGCTTGTGATCTGTGATGATGAATAGCCAGGGACAGTGACAGCAGCAGCCTAAAGTCCTCTTGCTAGGCACCATAGGGAATGTTCTCTGTTTTAAGCCACTGGCAGCACATGCACTGTTTCCACTGCCAGTGCCCCCAGTAGACCCATGGGAGAAGGATGAAGGATGATTGTATGGCAGGGGGAGAGCTGTAACGTTTGGACATCTCACCACTGGGTGCTGGTTATCTGGGGCTCACCTAGCTCTAAAGTGTGCCAGGCACTTCTGCTAGAAAGCACCCCTGAGAGAGGGGGCTGCCCCAGGGACCATTACCCACCGTCCTTGCCCTCCCAGCCTTGCTGTCTCCTCGTTCTTTAAGGGCTGCCTTGCCGAGCAGCTTCTATAAGCAGTACCCTTTCCTTTGTAAGGCGACACAGACGTGCCTGAGCCTTCCCACCTGTTCCTGCATGTTGCAGGGGGGCTGCTGGTGCTCCTACCTCTTGTGTTTCCTGTGGTGAAAACCAAGCGTGGCATAGGACGTGTTGCAAGGGCCTCGTGAGCTTTCCTGCTTGCTTCCTCTTTCCTCCTCCTTGTGCCGTTGGGAACGGTCTCGCTTCTCCTGGGGGAGGGGAGGAGAGGAACAGGCCAGTCTTGTAACGGCTCAGATCAGCTTCAAGCCACTTATTCTCTCTTCCTCTAGTATCTTGGCAGCCGGACCCCAGAAAAAGTGAAGTCAAAGATCCTGGAGCTCATGTACAGCTGGACATTAGGGCTGCCTCATGAGGTGAAGATCTCAGAGGCCTACCAGATGCTGAAGAAACAAGGTCAGATGCAGTGCTCTGGAAGGGGAAGGTGGATGGATGGTTTTCCCTCTGTCCTTTTTTGTCTGGGCAGAATCTGAAACAGACTCTCCCTTTCCTGTGCCCAGAGCCAGCACGTCCATCAGTCTGCCTGGGGCAGGGGCAGGTGAAGAAGTGGGTGCCTTGGGGCTCCTAGCTGGACAGAGGGAGTTGACGATGGTCCGAGTTGTTTGATGGTTTGGAGGGGACATCTGCTTGCTTCTGCTGCAGGAGATGGATGGGGCATTGGAAGGGGCTGGGGCTGGAGGACTGCAAGTGCTTTGGCAGTCAGTGTTGGATTTTCCTAAGAGGATACTGGTGCAGAGTAGGGCACAGCTCCTGCATGAAAACACAATCCAGGATCGTGGGTAGTGGGAGCAGACCCAAACCCCCACTGTCCCAGATTGGTTTGGTGGTCCATTAGGGAAGAAATGACCTAGGTGGCAGTGCCATCCCCAGTGGGTGAGGCCTCCTGACCTCTTCATTGGCTTCTACTGCAGGGATCGTGAAATGTGACCCAAAACTGCCTGACGACACTCCTTTTCCGCCTCCTCCCCCTCGGCCCAAGAACATAATCTTTGATGATGAAGAGAAATCCAAGGTAAGGGCTCTGTGCAAGGAGAGGGACAGCGGCAACGTCTTCCCCGCTCCAGGATCTTGTCCTCCTGGGGTGGAGATCCAGAAAGGGTCAAGGCTCCTGCTCCATGTGCTGTGCTTCAGAAGATGCATCACAGGAGTGCTGAGGGCCTGCTCTGAAATCATGACAAAGGAAACAGCCAGAAGTGGGGAATGTGGGACTGTTTGACCTTTGGACCTCTTAGCTGCAGGATGGTGCAAAGGGCGAAGCGCTGACATTAGCCCAGCAGGGTCTGGGAGGTTTCGTGCTGTGCAGTCTCAAGGCTTCTGAGTTATCTGGCCATGAGGTTTAAATCCCAGCCTCAGATGCTGCTGCCGTTATCTCTTCGACACTCCCAGCCCTGCAATCTGCATATTGCCCAACTACTTATACCTTCCTGGACCCATCCTATATTGCCTTTCCATCAGAATTGTGTCACCACTCAGGCAAACCTCTGCTTTATCAGTGATGATACATTTAAGCAAGTATTAGGCTCCTCTGGGTCTGCTTCTGCAGCAGAAGCGCGATGCCGGTTTGCTGCAGGGGATATATTGCCTCCAAGGGTCACCGTGTGCAAATGAGGATTTGTAGGTGGCCAGTGGGACTGTTCGCTGACTACAGAAGGGGAGAGAAAGTGGGAGCTCTCCCTCCTCACCAGTTGCACCTGTGACAAGGCATATGAAGATGTTTGAGCAGGAGTCCACTACAATCCCATGGCAATTTGAACCAGACTTTCAGTCTTTCTCAGTACAAGTGCTGCTGGTGCTCCAGGGTCTCCATGGCCCGTAATAGGCAGGCAGGAACAGGTTCTGAGTGCAGGGGGATCCTCAGGGAAAGACCTGTCTTACATAACCAGAACCACAACGAGAAAAGGAAGACCAGTTGTACTTCTCTCTCTGGTCTCTGATGACCCGCAGGCTCTTGTGGCTGCACTTTCTAACGGCTGGCATTGTCTGCTGCCTGTGCCAGATACGGGTTTAGGCGGGGTAACTCTACTGGGTCCAGTGTTGCAAGAGGACTCTGGCTGCCACCCCTCGGCTTGGGCTCAAAGGTACCTCTTTGCTTTTGTAGATACTGGCTCGTCTCTTGAAAAGCTCCCATCCTGAGGACCTCCGGGCTGCCAACAAGCTCATCAAGGAGATGGTTCAGGAGGTGCGGCTGGAGAGGAGGGCAGCTGGGGGATCGTGGTCTGGGTGGTGGTGGTGGGCACCAAGGGAGCAGTGGCTCTCTGTCCTCATGCAGACATATGGAGCTTCTGCCCAAAATTTTGCAGCAGCTGCTGAAGAGTCCTTGTGTGACTTCTGCCATCCCTTAGCTACTTGGAGGAATGGCTCTGGGCACTTTCTGTGGCCCAAGCCCTGCTGCAGCAGTAGATCTGTGATAATTCCATCCCTGTTTCACAAGTGCGGGCCCAGAGATGATCTGGAGTTTTCCACTGTTGTGGGAGCTGTTTTGAGGACAGTTTTACTGTGCCTTAGTCGAGGGAGTTGATGTGTTGGCTGGCCCAGCCTTCCTTCCCAAGTTGCAGACAAGAGTAAGGACATGCTTCCCCATGTGCTTCCCCTGCAGGACCAGAAGCGCATGGAGAAGATCTCCAAGAGGGTGAACGCCATCGAGGAGGTGAACAACAACGTGAAGCTGCTCACAGAGATGGTGACAAACTACAGTAGGGGGGAGACAACGGAGAGCAATGAGGACCTAATGAAGGTGAGGAAAAGCCATCCCAGCATCCTCCCTGAGCTTAGCAGAGGTGGCTGACCCTTATCCCCTCAAGTTCCTCCTACTGATTTTGCATCCCCAGCTGAGCATCCTGCTTCTTGCCTCAGCACCACTTTCTCCTCTCCCTTAGGAGCTGTATCAGCGCTGTGAGCGTATGAGGCCCATGCTTTTCCGGCTCGCCAGTGACACAGAAGACAATGATGAAGCTCTGGGTAAGCATATCTGGCCTTTCTCATTCTGTCTTCTCACTCCATCTTGTTTCAGGGAGCCTGTGCTTGGGCTGCCCATGGTATGGCATCTGTCAGCAGCTGCCACTCTGTTTGCAGCAGCTACTCGCTGTAGGTTGGTTAGTCTATGGCTTGGCACTAAGCGGGAGCACGTGGCCACAATCAGCAGTGTTACAGGCTTCCTCCACTTCACCGTAGGGACAATGCTTGAGCTTGTCCCGCTGAGACTGCCATGGAGGCGTCAATGTACCCTGGTAGTTTGCAGCAACAGTCACAAGCATGTTACCTGCGGTGGGCTGCTGTCCACTCTTTGGGCCTTGCTTTGAAGGAATAGACAGATTTGGGGTATAAAAGTCACTTTTTTTTTTTCCTTCACGATTTTCAAACTTACTTTCCACCTATTCCATTTCAGCGGAGATCCTGCAAGCCAATGACAATCTGACACAGGTGATCAATCTCTACAAGCAGCTTGTGCGGGGAGAAGAGATCAATGGGGAGACAGTGGCTGGTCCCCTTCGAGGTGAGGGCACTTGGGGAATGGGGACAGGAAGGTCAAGCAGAGGGACACTATTGCTGGTTTCCTGCAGTGTGAGAGAAGATTGAGAGAAGCGAAAAGGTGAAACCTGCAGGAGGTCAGAGTGGGGCTGGTGAGATGAGATGACTGATGCATGAAGAGAGGGAACTGGAAGAGAGAGCAGAGGGAGAGTTCCCTCTGCCAGGTGTGAGGAAGGTTGGGAACTGGCCTCAGCACACTGGATAAGGTTTCTGTCTCTCAGCTTGTTCTTTCCCTTCTTTACAGGCAGCACCTCAGCGCTTCTGGATCTGTCGGGCCTGGATCTTCCGGCAACAGGCCCTTCCTACCCAGCCTTGCTCACCCTTTCAGGTGGCTCAGCAGCCCCAGTGCCTGACCAAACTGGCTCTGTCTCCCTGCTGGATGATGAACTCATGTCCTTAGGTGAGAGATACAGAGCAAAAGATCTTCTCTCCTTGACTGGACAGTCTGCTTGGATGGCTCTCCTTGTGGCAAGAGCATGAATAAGGGAGAGCTCTTGGAGAGGTGAATAATGAAAGACCAAGAGGTGGCCTTCGTTTAGTGTGAGGGAGAAAGAAGGAAAGACCTTGCTATGATTCTGAACTTCACTCCCATGGTGTTTTCCCAACTAGTCAGAGAGAGCCTGCAGGGACATGCCCTCTGATTTGCTCTCAGAAAACTGACCTGGCAGGTAAATCAAGGATGATGCAATGGCCATCCCCAGATGGGATCACAAGGGTGGATCACCCCTAGCTCCTCATGTTTACTCCTTGCAGTCGAAGTCACAAGCTGACAGCAGACACATAGGACTTCCAGAACTTTTCACATGGAAGTTGTGAGGTGCTAGTCCTAAAAGGCTCTGGACTACGACCTTTCCAAAGAAAAGTGTCTGTTTCCTAAGATAGGTGCTTTGAGTACAACAGCATGAAGTAGACAATGTGGTCACCCAGATGCAGGTTCAAGTGGGGCTCATCAGCCCAGTTGTATTCACTTCTCTGCCAATTCCATTAGGAATTAGACTGTAAATGAGGATCTCTGGGCAGAAAAAAAAACACTTGCTACACTCTCCCATGCAAGGATAAGGGCCAGAGACTGAGACCATATTGGTGATTCTGCCCTGCTCCTTCTGCACCTTGTCTGACCAGAGGGATCTCAGTTACAGGTGCCTTATTCAAGCCTCGTTTAATGCACTTAACCACTTGGCAGCTAAAGCTTCATGTTTGCTTTTACCTCTGACAGGCCTGAATGACCCAGTGCCGCATCCTGGCCAGGCTGGTGATAGCAGTGGCTGGAACAGCTTCCAGGTAATGTGCCGGGAACCAGGACAGAAGGTGGAGAGGGTGGTGGAAGCAACAAATGGAGCAGACAGGGAAGCATCCCAGGTCTGACGGTTGGTGCTGATACGCCACCCTGATTGTGAGGGGCTCTCCTGTGTACTCTTTCTACAGTCGTCAGATAGCAACGAGCTCAGTATCACCCCTATCATGGCAACGCCACCAGTCAAAGCAGATGCTGGCGCATCCTCCCCCAAACCTTCTCCTTTCACCAGTGGCCTGGATGACTTGGACCTCCTGGGCAAGACTCTGCTGCAACAGTCTCTGCCTCCAGAATCCCAACAAGTGCGATGGTAAGCAGGGGAAGGACAATCTTGCACCTCTCCCCATCCTTTCTGTTTCTGGGGTGCTGGACACAGACATTTCAGTGCCCTGTTCCACTCCTTGCTCTCTCTCCCTACAGGGAGAAGCAGCAGCCACCTCCCCGGCTCACTCTGAGGGATCTCCAGAACAGGAGCAGCTCTGTCAGCACGGCCCACAATCCCAGTATTCTGCCTGTGCTCCAGAGTGTTTCCCCTAACCCCACGCTGCCCCTGACCTCAGAGCTGCCTGCCCCTGCTACACTTCCAAAAGCGGCCACTACACCAGCAGGGAGTACTGCAGTCCCACCACAGCCTCCTGCTGCCGCGCTGCCCCAGGAGATCTCGCTGGCCAACATCACTGTGCCTCTGGAGTCAATCAAACCCAGTGAGCTGGAGCAAAAGAGTGGGGCAAGCTTAGAGGGGGTGGACTGTTTGGAAGGGAGCCAGACAAATCAGGGAAGAAACAACTGGGCAGGGTATGAAGAAGGTGGAACAAACCATGCTCATACAGAAGGGAAGAAAGTGAGAAAACTTCTTGCTTGTTGAATTTTGTAGAGGTTGAGGACGAGTGGTATCTCTGTCACTTGTGTGGAGCTTGAGTGATGAGGAAAGGTTGCTGCAAGGCCAGTTCCCTCCTGGCTGATTGCTGCCTGTCCCTGCCTTTCCCACAGGCAGCATCCTTCCTGTGACAGTGTATGATCAGCACGGCTTCCGTGTCCTCTTCCACTTCGCCAAGGATGCCCTGCCTGAGAGGCCCGATGTGCTTGTGGTGGTGGTCTCCATGCTTAGCACGGCCCCGCAGCCCATCCGTAACATTGTCTTTCAGTCTGCCGTCCCCAAGGTAAGGTGGCTGCTGGGGCTGAGGTCCCCAGACTGAGCGAGGCAGGGTGGGTGGAGAGCTCTATCAGGCTGAAAGCGAGTTGTTGCCTTCAGATTAGCAGGAACCCACACAATGTTTTTCTCTTTGACTAGGCAGTGGAAGCTCCCCAAATACGGGAGCAGTGCTCTGGCTGCTGAGTCCCTCTCAGGAATGTGGGATGTTCTTATCTCTCCCTAGGTGATGAAGGTGAAGCTACAGCCTCCCTCAGGCACGGAGCTGCCAGCGTTCAACCCCATTGTCCACCCCAGTGCCATCACACAAGTCCTGCTGCTCGCAAACCCACAGAAGGTGAGAGCACCATCCCTGAGGCATGAGCAGGCTGGTCTTGCTGCCTGGGCAAAGCCTGCTTACCCTGTCCCTATTCTGTCTGCTCCCTGCACTTTCCTAGAGACCTGAATGCTTTGTACCTCATGACTTTTTTCCCCTCCTTCTGACTGCCTATCCTTTCTCCCCTGTCTCCAGGAGAAAGTGAGGCTACGGTACAAGCTGACCTTCACCATGGGAGAACAAACCTACAATGAAATGGGGGATGTGGACCAGTTTCCCCCACCGGAGTCCTGGGGAAACCTCTAGGGCCACACATTGCAGGCACTACTCTGCAGAGTCCTTGGGAAGCCAGACCTGTGGGGCTGGAGCAGCCTGAAAAAAAATGGGGAGGGTGGGGGGGGGCCTGCTACTCACGCTCTGTTCTCCAGACGGCCGGGTGAGGGCCAGAGGGAGCGTGCCTCCAGGAGGACAATGGAGACGCCAGGACATGTTCATCCCACAAGACTAGGAGTGGAGTGAAAAGCTTCGTGTGGGTG